CTGAAAGTCTCTTTCTACTTGCCCGAAGGTAGTATATGAAAGAGGCGCGTAGTTATGTCTAGAAGGTTTCAGCCATAAGGCGGCACGTCACGATGTGTTCCATGTTTATTGGGATTCCTGTGTAAGCAGTTATGCCTACTTAAAATTGCATTTAAAGACTTCCGACAATTTGTCAATAACTCCAATCATTTCCTACACTAAGGTATCCGATTTAAACTTCTGGCGCTCGGTCAGTGTTTTTAAAGCGTCAACATAAGCGTCATCTTGTATGTTCTTTTGATTCCTGCTATCCGAATTATTCAGTCGAGGGCATTTCTGCAAATCCTACCTTAACATATTATTTCTGTTCCCCCAGGGCTTGTCAGAAATGTATCATATTCAACCCTTCACGCCCCGCGTTTAGATGACTGTGCCTTCTGGTGTATGTAGCATTTGCATAATATTCGGAGAGTGCCTCGTAGTGAATCGCCCGTTAGCTACTTTAAATTACAGTAGGTAACTTATGTATGGACCACTAAACGAATGTGGTTTTGATTTAAAAATGATTGCCTACTTGGGGTTTCAGTATTGACTAGCAGGTAGCACAATCCCAGTGCATTTCATTCAAGCCAGGATATCAATTTATTACTGCGCGTCCTGAAGGCCACCGGTGAAATGTGCACATTAACGTAGTGCGCACGTAAATATAGAGAAAGTACACGCGTGCGTACAGTATGTTGTCTGTCTCATAAAATGTGCTTTTGATTAGAAAGCGTCATTTAGGTGGAGATATTTCAGTCCCTTCAGGATGTCGACTTTGGGCCGAGCTTATTTCCAGCCGCCTGCAAAAAACTTACTCGGTACCAAAAAGGCAACTTATTTACTATGAATTTACTCATGAATTTTCAACGCCCTTATAAATTCAGATATATTTTTATTGAGAATACATGTCCTCTGTTTTACGCATTTCGAAACAAATAAGGTCATCCAATTTTAAACTAAATGAAACATTATCGATTAGTTGATAAAGTTTATAATCGTGGTACATTTTAAGGCCGTCAAATTTTAATGTATAATAATGTATTTGCCCGTGAAATATACAACATGGCTAATGTTCATTACAAAAGTTGATCACTTCTGTATGTCAATGTTAAAAAAATTATAATTTAACTACACAGGAGGTATGCGGCCTGTAGTTTAAGAAGCCTAGGCCACAGTGCAACTGCGGATCGGATTAAAAACCATTCATAAATTTTAAAAAAGTGCTTTTAAACCTCAAGATACATTTTATTGTAGCATGATATGTTTACGAGGACGTAAGTTCTTACCAAATGAATACGAAAAATTATATATATATATATATATATATATATATATA